ATAGGAGGCAAAAGGGGGGGGGGTGAGGAGGGAACAAATGCATAGAGAATGCCCTGATAGAAATCCCCCTTATGATTTCAAGCTCTACCCTGCCATGCTGACTGGAGGATTCTGGGAGTTGAAGTCCAGGAGATACCTAGGAAGAAATAACATTGTCTGCAAGGAGGTGGGGGGGCCCTGATGTCCGGCTAGTGAAAGGTTGCTGAGCCCTGCTTCGGATTTGGGAGCCATTTTATAAGTTCCCTCTGTTTAATATTGGGAGATTCTGAACAATATTGTATTATATAAACAGGTTGTTGGAATTTTAAAAGGCTGTGTTTGTGTAAGATGAGGCCTGTGGGGGCTAGCCAGAAACAGATCATTGGCCATCTGGCTATTAGTGCCAGAGTGGTTTTGGGAGGAAGATATTTTTCCAGATATTTTGGGGAGGAAGAACGGCTCTCCTCACACCTGCTGCTTCACCATCAGTGAATTGCAAACTGCAGCTTTACTTGAAGCAAGCTTGCATTCTGTGAGGATATCTTTAACACCAACACTATTAAACCACATCATCTTCCCATTACAGGCCCTTGGGAAGGACTTGATAGCCAGATAAAAATGCCAAATCCAGTCTAAACACCTAGCTGATTGTGCAACCAGTCATAATAATAACATGCTAGGTCAAATCTTTTTTCTTTTTTTTTACCTTAATACACAAGGCTACAGAACCTACAAGGACGTATCCTCGTAGCACTTTTCAATTTTCAATAAAAATGTTTGCCGGAATCTATAAAATAAGATGAGTTAATAATATCCCACTGCTCTGCACATAAATCATCTCCCAGCATTTGGGCAATTGAGTGCAAAGTCATAGGAAGAATTGTGATACACACTTGTAATATTTAATATGCAGTTGAATTAAATATTAATAGGGTAAAATTTAAATAACTTTGATCGTGTTTGTTTTAACTGTCTGTATCTTGTCTTTCAGCAGAAAAGCTCCCATAGTAGCTATTAAGCTTCCCAATATTGAAATTACTGTTGCTTTGCATATAACTTCCTTCTTCTTTCTGGTATACTTTAGGTACTGGATTTATGACTATACACCCCTATCCTAGGCCTGCTTTTATATAGCAGGGATGTATATAGATATCTCATGAGGCGGAAAAAGCCTTCATTCTGGCATCCAGAAATCAGCTGGAAATTTTGTTTGTTTTCTTGTTTTTAACCTGTAAACCTGCTGTGGTGAATGGTATAGGCATAGAACATCTACAGAAATTGTCTCTATAAATTGCTCTCTCATCCGTGAGCAAAAAATGACCCCATTCAGAGATTGTTCACCCCGTTCCTCTTTGAGAATCAGAGCGGATGTCAGTGCCCTTTATGTCTGTCTTTCAGATAACAGAATAAAAGAGTTGGAAGGGACTTTGGAGGTCTTCTAGTCCAACCCCCCTGCTGAAGCAGGAGACCCTATACCATTCCAGACAAATGGCTGTCAATTCTCTTGTCAAAAGTGGTCCACAACTTATGGAAGGCAAGCCATTCCACTGGTTAATTCCTCCTTAGTTCTAGGTTACTTCTCCCCTTGATTAATTTCCACCCATTGCTTGCTTTCTGGTGCTCTGGAAAATAGGTTGACCGCCCCCCTCTTCTTCGTAGTAACCCCTCAGATATTGAAACACTGCTATCGTGTCACCCGTGACCCTTCTTTTCACTAGACAAACCCAATTCTTGCAACCGTTCTTCATGTTTTAAGCCTCCGGCCCCTTAATCATCTTTGTTGCTCTTTTCTAGACTCTTTCCCGAGTCTCTACATCCTTTTTATAATCAAAGGATGGAGAAGTCAAAAAAGGAGAAGACAAATAGAAAGAAGCAATGACCTGCACCTCTTTGATAATGACAGCTTGGCAACGTTGTTGTGCACTTTGCAAAAGCAGTTCAGACTCGCCGACATTTGATCTCCAAGATCTTTTCAGGATTATGTGAGTACAGCATAAACGAAAAGTAGAATCAGTTGCTTTAATGCAACACCTAGGGCTTGAATTGGGCTTTCTGCTCTCATTGACAAGCCTAGAAATGCTGATTTATGGAGCAGTATGTTTTTCTGGTTGTATTTGGGAGTGTCAGACCTTCAAAGCAGATCACTCTACAGGTTAATATGATCTTTATTATAAAGCTACAATAACAGAATCTTGCAGGTCCGAATATACTTCCTCCCCCTTTTCCTTTATTTTCATGTGTACCAGAGAAGGTCCTACCTGAAATATATTCTAAGGTTACAACTTTGCCCCATATTCAAGTTTATCTGACTGTTGCCTTCTTCCTGTATCTCAAGGTTATTCCCTCCTCCCACTACTTTGAATGAAGGCTTGTTTTGTTTTGCCTGGCTGCTCAAGAAGAGCTGTTGGCACCACACACATTGCAACTGTGCAAATTCTTACCAGATAGAGGTATTAGTTTGTGCTGTCTGTTGCCCTTTACAACTTCCCTGAGTTGCCAGGGAACTTTAGTGTGAACACAACCAAGTTGTCAACTCTGAAGCGAACCTGGCTGAAGTAATCTTTTGCTGCCTCATAGTTGTCACAAACTCTGAAGGGGGGGGGGGGGGGGGGGGGGGGGGAAGTAGACAGACGGGCTAACAGTCAAAACAAAAAGTTTTCTTGTGGGAACCAAGGTCATCCTAACAGGTGGCAATTGAAGGAAGTGAGGAATGACCAAGCAGCCTGCCAGCTACTTACATTGGACAATGTGACCAGTGACATTTGGGGAAGGAACAATTTGTTCTTTTACTTAGGCTAAAAACTGGGAACTTTTAGAGTTGGTTTTCCACTGGCTGTGCCGATATGATGTATCCAATAAGCATGATCTTTTGAGGAATCTACCTGCCTTGGAGTTCTGCTTTTGGGGAATGTGTTACTCGGAATGCTGACGCAAGTGTAGGGATAGTGGCACACAATATCTCTGAGTACGTTCCATTTTTGTTTCTATTTTTTTTCTATTAGTTTCATTTTGTATATGTTGCATTCAAAGGGTTATTCTGATCTACGGCGGTAATAGATATTTGATTAATTGGAAGCAAAGTTGGGAATCCTTCCCTTCATCAAATGATACAATTCCTCTAGTGCCCGAGGGACAATTGTTCACTAGCAATGGGTCTTTGTGACATGGTAATGAAATTGAAGTTGGTTATCGCTACCCAGTTTGTATTCAAGCAACCTTCAAAATAGTTCAGTTGAAAAGATATACTAAAGGATATATTCTGCTACACCTCAAGTTGAACATAGTTCTCAGCATCACATAATTCTCTAATGGCAATGCCTTCAAACTAAACCATTCCAATTTATTATTAGTTTTGTATGAGAGTATGGTCTGCAAATGCATATTATAAGCATTAAAACTCTGATGTAGTAGGTTCCCTTTTCAGCCCACCCAAATCATATACGCACATATCCAGGAAACAGTCATGGATGAGGGACAAAGAGCTTGTCCTGCTGAAAGCTCTTTGTATAGACATGATGTCACCAAACACAAGTGTTATGTAACAATATTGGAGAAAATGAGGATAAGTTCATCTGATGGCTATTTGGACATGATCCCAATGCTGTTGGGTTGGTTTTTTGTTTATATAATATAGTTGTTTACCATTGACTTTTTCTGCTATATTTTTTAGCCTTCTTAATCTAGTATCTTAAGAATTTCTTGCTGGCTTGTTACTGAATTCCTAATCAGCTCTAATCCTGATTATATTTTTCAGCCCAAGCCACTGCTGGTTAGGTATTCAGACTTTTGAGGTCTTGGCAAAAATTGGTTGAAAATCCTGAGACCCACATCATTTTGGGCAACCTCCAAATTACACCAGATATATCCTGGAGACTCTACCTGATGTGATAAAAAAAAGCATTTTATATAAATAGGACATTGCCACTTATAACAGTAAGGTAAAGGTAAACGTTCCCCTTCCATATAAGTGCTAGTCATTTCCGGCTGTAGGGGATGGTGCTCATCTCCATTACAAAGACGAAGAGCCAGCGCTGTCTGAAGATGTCTCCGTGGTCATGTGGCTGGCGTGACTAAAGTATTTTGCTTCTTGCATTTTTACATGCTTTCGAACTGCTAGATTGGCAGAAGCTCACTCCGTTACGCAGTGCTAGGATTCGAACTGCAGAACTGCTGATCTTTCTAATCGACAAGCTCAGTGTCTTAGCCACTGAGCTACCACATCTCTTTAGTTATAGCAGTACAGGCCTTAAATAGATAAGAAGAGCCAAAATAGTTTTTTTAAAAACCAAAATAAACAGAGAAAAGGCACACATTCTTATTTAACAACTAATTGATTTATTTAACAATACAAATTTATTTCTACTGCTTGGTGTAAACAGAGAAAAGCTGAGAAACAAAATTAAGTTCTTTTTAAAGTTTAAATGTGTACACAACCCCACCCCCCCCAACTTCTTACTTCAGTAAATATAAAATTTACAGACAGAAAAAGCAACATGAAGAAGGAACAAGGTGTTGACAAACTGATGACAGGAAGGAAATTTTAGAATTAGTCATATAATCTTAGTAAAGAAAGTTAACGGGCAGCATTGAGAAGGCATCCCATTTATATTTCAAATTTTCTGCAGTCTGAAACTTTAGTGCATTAAAAAATGAGACATAATTATACTATATACTATATATTATATGATATAAATATTTGAAAACTTTGCAGGGCCCATATTATATATAATGTGAAATATATGTTTTGCCACTTTTTGTAAATTTATGGGATATGCAATATACCGATGCATTTTATCTTTTCACGAGGAACCGGCAAGATCTTTAGAGTCTCTCCTTGGGGTGTACTTGCCAGGTAACAGGTCATACATTCTTGTCCTAATTTATAAGACAAATGTACCAAATTCATATGCCTCATAAATGCCACTCATTTCAGTGGGAGTTGTGAAAATCTTTTGAAATTAATGGAAGATGACTAACGAAGATGCCCTAATATTTTCTCATGCATACCTTCTGTTCTCTCCTTACAAACTAGCTGTAGGAATTGTTCTCACAGAAGAAATGCTAAAGATGAGTTGAGTTTATGTTGCAGAGATCAATTGGGAATCTTGACTGAAGCACTTCTTTACACCTCCTCACACAAGAAGGCCCATGAATCAAGAATGTTGATAACACAAGGTTAAAATGTTTCCTTTTGTTGAAATTTCTGGTGGAAGAAGCTGTTTTGGAAATGGGGCAAAGGATAGAGTAGCCTCTCTCTAACATTTGTGGCAGGACAGCCCCGAAATACTTTTGACGCCTCTGTGAGAACTAGCCTATAATACCAAACAAAATATAGGTTAAAACACATTGCCTTTATCAATTGCCTACTGAGGAGGCTGCTGTAATGAACAGGCATTTTATTTTGGGTGCTTGTTTCAGGATCTGAAATAGTTCCTGGGTTGTTAATAAACCCTTAAAATTCCAAGTGAAAATGACATTTAGCTGGGAGGTAAACAGGATAGTTTGTCATTTGAGCTGTATTGCAGTGGATGCAGGTATGTCTCAAATGATATTGCTCTAGGTGTCATATTCTGAGACCATAAGTCTTATAGATGAACCTCTCACATCTTGAAGCCTCTACAATTTGTTAATACTCTGCATGATAAAAAAAAAATGTTGAATTCCAGCCAGAAATATACAAAAAGTACAAAAATGCTTGACAGAAGTGCTTCAACAGCACCCTTCCACCATGCACAATAGTTTTGTTCAGTTTGAACCTAGAAGCCTGAAACATAAATAGTAAGGAGTATCTGTCACATAAACACAAATCATCTTTCTGGATGACTGGTTTGCACTGTTTGGTGTTTGCACTACATAAATAAAGGCCCATGGTGGTCATGCAACGGGAAAAGGAATGCTAATATTTAACGTGTGCTGTGGACTAAGCTATCCATGTGATGCACACAACCTTATTTTGCTGGGTAGGACAGCCTATCAACCCTGGCGGTGAGCAGATTGTGATGAAAATCTCTATGTAAATGTAACGTTTCCATCAAGCTCTCCTAAGTGTGCAGTCTATGTATCAGTCTATGTATCTGGAAAGGATATACTATGTGTAACCCTCATTCAGGCATTTGAACATTATGCGTGACTATTTGGGGATCCCATTCATTTCATGTGGAAAGATGTGGAGAAAAGCCTACATCATATCTTGTGCTGAAAGTTACTGATTTTCCTTTAAAAATTCGTTATTTCTAAGTCAATATTGATTGATATTCTTCTGACCTCATTGAGAAAAAAAACTCACTTGAAGTTTCATGACACTGTTTATGACACACACGGAGATGTGAATAACCAATCATGCAACCGTACTGCTTTGGAAGATGGGTTTACCATAATTCAGAAGCCTACCTCTAAAGCCCTGGAGCAGTGGACATCTTCTACAAATTAGAAAATATGGGCAAAATCCAAAATCCTCAAAATTTTGGAATTATAAAGATGACCCTATTTATGGTAAATTATATAAATAGGTGGGAGATTATGTGAAATCCAATAAAGTTTCAGTAATTTGCTCCTTCATCCTGGAGAATGCATAAAATAATAAGATTACCCTGCCTGCCATCAACTATACTCACAATGGCCTTATCAGCTATACACTCACTGGTCAAGAATCAACTGACTAATTAAGAATCAACTGACACCAGAGCATATGTCATGTTTCCATCAGCTCCTTGGCATCCAACAGAGACAATTGTACAGTATCACAGTTCTTAACATCTTCAGGACTTCAGGTTCTGATCAGATGCAGAAGTGTAGAAAAGTTTGTTTCAAGCAACTGGAGGTTGTCAGGTTGTTTACAAGTCAACAGGCTGTTACACTTGGCAAATTGTGGTCCGCACTATTTGCCCACTGTGTCAAAGCTTTTTGTGCTGCAACGGAGAACAATTAGGCATCAAGTGCAGCTCAACAATACTATTCCTCTGTCAAGGAAAAATGGGAGTCGATCTAAACATGAGATTAAATTTGTTGCCTAAGTTGTGTTTTATGTTTTTCAGCTGATAAAATATTGGTTCAGGAGATTGCAGAAGAGACTGCAAGACTAGTGACTTAATCTTGCCCATCACTGTGGTCCTAAAGGTCCTATTCCTCTCCCCAAACTATAATAGCAACTGTGAACATTGTGGTTGGACCTCATGACTACCAGGAATGAAGTGAGGAAGGACAAGGTCAATGGAGTTTCTTCATTGGTCCTAATTTTGCTTTGCCATCATTACATCATTGAACTTTAACATTCTACAGATTTAGTGGAAACATTCCTCTGTCCTTTCTGCTGGAGAACAGATGTTCATGTGATGGATGCTATAACATGAATTTTACAGGAGTGATGATGATCCTACTACCTACCACCACCACACTGGTTAGTATTTCAAGGCAGCAATTGGGAGGAGAGGAGAAATAGTGATGGAAGGTATCATCCTTTTAAAGCCTTACTGGTGTTCTAGCTTATCTGTTTGTACATGTCTATGGCTATAAATGCCAGGTTTAGCGTTATGAAGTTCTGCCTTAAGAAACGTTGTTGGAGGCAAGCTACAAGTCTCATGATGTTCCAGGCCTTCTGAGTGGGGCCTTCTTGCCTTACGTTAGGTTTCCACAAGGATCTGTATATAAACAGTCCTACTGGCTCTGCCCACATTTTAGTTTCAAATATGAAAACAGAGAAGCTCTTCCTTGGGGAACATGTTTATTGTGTTTGAGATGATACACTGGATGCTCTCTGAGCTACAAGTGGGTAGTGATGAGAGGGGACAAGGATAAAAGAAATCCTTTTCGTTACAAACTGACAAAGGTAAAAGTCTTAAACATTTTTCACAACAGCATGTACCACATATCGGAAATAGATCTGGGCTTAATACAAATGACGTAATTCCTAGTAATCTACAGCTACCTTTAATAACTTCATACAGATAATGAATTAGGCTAAAATGCACTATTATATTTGGTTGACTTCAGGAACAGTATCCTTAGTTACATCACAAAATACATTTTGATATCCCAAAGAAGCAAGACTTGCAAGTAGGCATTTTAAACATAACTAATCTACAGCTACAAAGTTCTACTCTTGACAGCATTTACCTTTTGGGGAAGGGGAGGAGGGAGAGAAAGCAGTATTCCAATCTTCAAAAGGATAAAAGCAGAGAGTAGAATCAGTATAACATATACACAGAAGTCCGTATTGTAAAGGCTATAAAGTTTGGTTGCACACTGCAAAGCTGCATCCCCGCACCTTCACACTGCGCCAAGTAGTCAACATCACTTATGTTGCATATCTCTTGGTCCACTGTCTGGCTATCCTGTCATGTTCTGCTCTGTTGGTCAGGTACTGAGTGGCTATGCTTCCCACCAGCGGATCAGCTGCAAGAATTCAGCAAGGGACAACAGGGGAGGGAGAGAGAGAAAGAGAGAGAGAGAGAGAGAGAGGGAGGGAGGGAGGGAGAAAGGAAGGAAGGAAGGAAGGAAGGAAGGAAGGAAGGAAGGAAGGAAGGAAGGAAGGAGACACATTAGCAGTCATTCCCCAGTAAGCAAAGTAATGAGCAAAGTTTCAACAATTCATTTCACATATTTGCCAATTAAGACAGGGAAAAGTACTCAACGCCAGTACCACTTACTGTTTCATAATTAATTAATCAATTCAAATGTATAAGGCAGAGGTGCCAAACTCAAGGCCCGTGGGCCGGTGCTTAGATCTGGCCCACAGGGCCGCCCTGAAAACAACAGGGACTGGCCTGTGGTGCCTCTGCCAGTGAAAACGGAGCTCGGGAGGGCAGCCCTCCCGAGTTCCGTTTTCACTGGCAGTGGGTTGCAGGAAGCCGTTGCAGCCAAAAACGGAGCTCGGGAGCTTGTTTTCACTGGCCAAGCACTTGGGCTGCCACAGGCGCCATGACACAAGGGACGTCGAGCTGGCCCTGCCCAATCTGCCTACCCCAGCCTCTTGAGATCAAACACAACCCTGATGTGGCCCACAATGAAATGGGGTTTGACACCCCTGGTATAAGGTCACCCAATCCACAATTCTGAACAGTATACAAATTAAAAACACAACCCAAAATAATAACTTAATTTGTTTATAAAAAAAGTAAAAGGACTATAACCAGTAGAAATCGATAAACATTTAACACAGTCTCATTCAACCCATCTAAGCCAGAGCATGAGTAAAAGTCAGATCTTCAAGGCTAGTTTATAGGTTAGCAGGGTTGAACCGATCAAAGCTCTGGAGGAATACCATTCCAGAAAGCAGATGGTATGAAAGGGAAGGCATGCCTTTTCCATCCCATCCGAAGAAATGGTTTAATCGAGTGCACCCAAAGCATGCTTTTTTTTTTTTTTGCACATCTTATAGGATTAGGGGAAACAAAGGTAAAAATGTAGTCTCTCAGATAACTAGTCCTTATACCATGAAGGGCTTTTCAGGCGACAACCAACACGTGCATAGAACACTATAAATGATATAGATGTATAGTATGAGCAAATTGCAGCATCTCAGCCCCCCCACCCCCCAAAAAAGAAGCAATTTGGATTCAGAATCTGCATAACAGGATTTTCCATTGTTCACCACTCCCGAACAAGACGTGTCATTGATGAGCAGGTGTGGCAACGGAAGAAGTGAGTAGCAGTGTTGTGGAACCTTCTTTCTCCAAGGGCTGGTTCCAATGGATGAGGAGGAGGTTAGGAGATCTAGCCCCAGACCCTTTTTGTGTGGGGTCCTGCAGGGCTCTGTACTCTCCCTCTCCTATTTAGCATCTATATGAAGCTGCTAGGTGAGGTCATTCCCTGGAATTGGGTGAGTACTGGTGAGGTCTGGAATTGGGTGAGTACTGTTTATAGCCGTTCAGCCTTGGTAATTTCCTGAGCGAACTAGATACACCCTACATGGAGCTATCCACTAATGTCACTTGAAAGCTACAACTGAATTCCAGAATTCAACAATGTAAGCAGCTGCAGGTATACCTTGCCCATGTACACCACTGTTTTGTGAGTTGCTCCTAATGCACATCTTAGATGGAACTCAAAGTGCTATTTGTCATGTATAAAAGTCTACATGGGACTAATATATGCAGGACTGGCTCTTTCTAGGTTGGTCCATTCCTCTACATCCTAAAGATGCACTTTAGGTCCTATATATTAAGCCTTAATATTGTAGAGATTAGTGGAGACTCAACTCTGCTGGCCTTTTGGAAGTTACTGAAGACTTGGGTGTTCCCCTGGGCAAGGGGTTTGGAGATTAGATGAGCCCATCATTGCAAGTTATCATCAGAGCTCAGTTTGTCTTCGGCGGCCATTATTTTACTAATTTTGACTATGTTCTGTTTCATGTGCTTCTAACCCTATGTGCGCTGCCCAGAGCTGCAATAGAGAGATGGTATACAAATTGATACAGTAAATAAATGAAAAACCAAGTGGTAGCAGTTTGTATTAGCTGAGCTACAGATGCAGGCCAACCTTCTATTGCAGTCTTTTTTTTTTTCCTGATAAGAGACTGGCATACTGGAACTGACTACAAAAGTGCCGAGACAGCATATGTGGACAGTGTATCCAAGACTCATTGTGCTACTGAACTCTCCTTGTACATGGAAACTTAGCTTGGCCAAGCCATGTTTTCTGTTTAAACATGCGTGCTCTGCATGTTTAAACAATGGAATGGAACCAAGGGTCTTATCACTGCCATTTGAATCGATCTAAAACAATATCCCTTGAGTTGGTGCTGTTACTCATTGGAAGACTTTCAACCTTCAGGAAAAAAAAAACCTGAATAATGGTCAAAAAACATCTGAAGAAAATCAGTCTGGGGACGCCCATGTATCACAGCCTTTCCATTGCAAAGCATAGGAGGCATTTATAGGTTGAAAGATAATCAGAAGAAAAAGAGGCTTTTATTCATAAGCTGTTCTATACGTGCAAATCAAACAAGCCTCTTTTCAATGTGGGTTTATCTCACAGGTTTAAAAACCATACACTTGCCAGTTTGTGCCCCATTTTCAGACATGGCAAAAATGAGAAGTTTCTGTTGTCGACAAAAGTGAGGGAAGCAGCCTCCTCTGGCTGTGCCTGTTGCGGAATTAATAATCATTAAATCCGGGGGAGGGAAAAGTGAAAGATTGCCTTACCAGGATTGCAGTCTGTCAAGAGGGAGCAAATAGACAGCAAAACCTTTGAAATAGTCAAAGCAGGACTCCAATTGTCTTTCAGGATATCCAGACAGATGACTCCCTGACTGTTGATGTTGCAGTGATAGATTCTAGTACGGAAAGTAACCTGCAGGTAGAAGAGCAACAGAAGGGGAGGGGAGAAGATCATCACACGCTTTTCAGGCATAGTTTGTTGCTAGCCTTTTGAAACCTGTCTTGAATGATTCTCCCTCGGTGGGAAGATTTTTCTGTCGAGACCTTTCATTTTGGGGGGGCAGGAAAAAATTGTTTGTTTCTGATGTTTGTTTACGCCTCATCTGAAAAGAGGTCTCCTCTCTCTTCTTTTGTTAAGCAGCTGCCTCATTCACAACTGCTATATACTGTATGTCTCAAAGCTAAAAGCTTTATTGTGTTTTTTTTGTTTTGTTTTGACAAGCCTCCAGCATTTTTAATGCTTTTTGGGAAAAAAAAACAAAATGAAAAAACAGCCGATACATACAAACATTTGCGTGCCCTTGAGAAATAGTGGTTTCATCGGTTTCCTTGGGGCAGACAAGCGACACTGCAAGTCCCAAGACTTGTGACTTGTGTACTTGCATACCAAGTTGGAATGCAAAGTACAAAAGGGCAGAGTTTGTATCGGGATTTCGTCGTAATTCTGCCTGTCACAGTTTCAAGGAGCCCATGGACTATTTCCACTGTGAGCATGTGGAAAATGGCACTTAAGATACCCAGCTTTCATTTAAAACGGGGGGAACGTGAGATTCAAAGTGAGGCGCTGCAGGTCTTTTCACTAGTTATGATGCCCAAAATGGATGATGCATGTTTGAGAAATCTGAAGAGCACCAGATTTGGAGAACAAAGCTCCTCTGGAACATGAGAGCCATCATGATCCAGATGTCATGATTCCCCTCAATTAACCTTGGGGCTCTTGTTCTTGATTCATCTATATGTAACCTGACCGCTTTTATAAATAAGATCATCACTGAATCGTCTCCAACTGTTGGCATTTACTTTGATGGGTTTTCCAACCCAGTAGGAATATGCTCACAGAGCATGTTAGTACATTTTGAATATTGCAAAAGCAATCTTCAATGGTACCAGCTTCCACAGAAAACCAAATCTTGACTCAGGCTGCTCTCCTGAGGCTACTAACACTCATAAAAGTAGACTACTTATTCAAAATCTCTGTCTGGTCAGTATACTCTACATAGACCACATCAAGATGGTCTCAAGTTCAATCTCTGAAACTTCAGTTTAACTCAGGGGTGTCAAACTCACAGCGTCACCATGTAATTGTCTTGGGCAGTGGCGAAGTGCGTGCTCACAGAACCGGTTGTTAAACCGGTTGCAGCCCACCACTGACATTGCGACTTTCCCCCCCTTTGCTAAACCGGGCATGGGCGTGACCCGTGCGTGACACATCCGGCCCATGGGCCAAGATTTTGACAGCCCTGACTTAACTCATCTTGGTGGGGGGAAAAGCCCTCTCTGATAAGTGACAGTAGGCAGTAAGGCCTAGATGTATTAAGAGCCGGCTCTGTTAACTAGGAACATATGTTCCTATAGAAGATGTATGACTGAAATTGGTTACCCTTATGTTTTGAACTACATAACGTATTTTTGAGAAATACAGTTCTGAACTATAGGAGAGTAAAACTTGGAACAGATCCCTTCCCCTTAGTTAAGTCTTTCATATGGCTTAGCTTAGTGTGGCACTCACTTTTTAAGCCCTATGCTGCAGTATGGTGGGTTTCAAAGTAGTTTATTACCGGTTCAGTGGGTGTGGCTTGGTGAATGCGCTTTGCGTGTGCATGTACACACTTTGAGTGCGTCCATGCCAAATGTGCACTTTGCGCAGGCACAGAGGGTTTCCTACTCACCTCCTGCAATCCTGCACTCTCCCTGTAGCTTCAACAGCTGACGTGCGGCAATCTGCTGTGCCGCGCAAAGCAGCTGCGCTTCAAAAGGCGGGAATAAAGGTTAGTATGGGAGCCTGGGTGGGTGGGCCCAACAGCAGCTCATCAGAGAAAACCGGTTTGGTCTCCGCTGATCTTCGGTGCTATCGGTACACCGGAACCAGACCAAACTGGTGGAATAGCAGCACTTGCTCTACTGAATCTGAATTAGGAAACTCTGATGTAATGTCACTCAATAATCAAGGACACTACACCAGGACCTGACTTAATGTAAATTAGAAATCAAACACTAAAATGATGTGGAGAGAAAAGGAGGAAAAAGGGGAAGCATTCCACCCTAATACTTTTGCCATTAAATTCTGTGGTTTGGGATAGAATCCTCAGTGCACTCAGTTCCGTGTCATGTGCAAAACTGATGCATGTTCAGATGCCATTCATGTCATGAATAAACTCCTGAAGAGGACAGGACCCGCTGAGTCTTGGTGATCCCTTCTCTACAAAGAATCAGCTCCAGGGCATCTCTAGGTCTGCCCCATTTCCAGATGTTTCAAGGAACTTACAAGTGGGAAAAGAGGGAAATATCTGACTTTGCATTTGAGCCTTTTACAGATTTATGCCAAATGACAAGCCTTTGTGAAATTGACAGGAGATGCATATTGAGATAATACTATGGAAATTGATGTGGCTTTCCCACTACCTTTTTTCATTTTTTTTAGAGAAAAAAAGAAAAAGAAATAAATCTCAATTGTTTTGGGCATGACTAGAATAATCTTTTGTTCCTACCTAGAATATATTACCGTGTTTCTCATAAAATAAGACCGGGTCTTTTTTTTTTTTGAGCCCCGAAAAAGCGGCTAGGCTTTTTTTTCGGGAATGACTTAATTCCCCCCCTTGCATCCTTGCCTAGAGTGCCTTGCGGGCAGCCATGCCTCGCCACCAGCCGCTCCAGCGGCAATGATGGCGGACGGGGGAGAGCTCCCAACTCCCGCCAAGCACCTTTGCTGCAGACCCGAGACCTTTGGCGCCCGCCGCTGTTGCTTTCCCTTCTGCCCATGCTGCCGCCGCGTTTGGAGCTGCCGCTTCTGCGTTTGGAGCACCGCCACCGTTTGGAGCACCGCCACCGTTCCAAATGTGCTCCAAACAGTGGCGGCGCTCCAAACGCAGAAGCGGCAGCTCCAAACGTGGCAGCGGCATGGGCAGAAGGGAAAGCAACAGCAGCAGGCACCAAAGGTCTTGGGTCTGCAGCAAAGGTGCTTGGTGGGAGTAAGGAGCTCTCCACACTCTGCCATGATCACCTGTTAGGAGCAGCTGTGGCGAGGCATGGCTGCCCACGGGGCGCTCCTAACGGCAAGTCCCCCCCGCCCTTTCCCCCATTTTGCATGTTTTAAAATAGGCCTAAATTTGGGAGGAGGGGCTTAATTACATTTTATGCCTAGAAAACATGCTGGGTCTTCCTGGGGGGGGGGGGCGTATTGTTGGAGAAGCATGGTACTTGTTAGACAAGTGAAGAGACAAAAAAGAGAGAAGAGATTGCGGGGTGGGCCTTAGCTTCTTGATTTCTGTTGCAGGTATACAACAGATTAACTAACTTGATGAATCTAACATTTAGTCTACTTATTCAATAGCAGAATGTGAATCTTCTTCATCAAACATCTGCTACAAACCTGCAATCTTTAAACAAACACTTATACTGGCATTAAACTGCTATATTGTATCAGCAAGTATGGGAAATCTTGGCTTATGCTTCTCACAATGTTAAGAGCTACTGTAGATTTGACATTTTTAAAAAAAATATATTTTTCAGGAAGCAGGATTAACACAAACCAAAAAAGAGGTCTATGCACTTAAAAAATTTACAATTGATTCTATCGCTGATTCTACTTGCACTGTCGCTAAATGCCACATTCCACCCAATGTGGCAATTTTGAGGCATTTTAATTCATTTACACTGTTACTATTGCTCAGGGCACTTGAACTCAACATCAATCAAAGTGCTAGTGCAATGTGGTCAACTGTTTATATTAAATATCCCTTTTAGTTAAATTTCCAATGATTTCAGATGCTTTTCCAGGCATATCTCTGCTATACAGGTGCATTTCTTGGGCTGAAAAGAAAAGTGTGAGGCTGAGGAAAGCTTGTCCCCCACTTCAAGATCCAAACAAAGAGGGAGCAAGGACATAGGTTTTTCCCACTATCCAAAAAAAATATAATGTTTAATTACTGAATTATATTAAGATTTTAAACAAATCTCTCCTTTTAGTTTTCTCTTTTTTGTAGTGGCTATACTTGTATATCAATGCTGTATATGAGTAACCGAGCTTCTTTCAATTTCTGGATTTACATTTCAGCTAGCTTGGACAAGTAACATATCCTTTTCTGATCTTTTCTTTTTTTTAAATGTTATTCCCTGCTCCCAACCCCTGGCCAATAGGGAGAAGTTGTGAAAATCTCCCTTGGTCCTAACCAATAGGAAAAGGGCAAATCCTACTGCCTCCAGTAAATGCATCACGTTATCCTCAGAGATGTACTATAGCAGGGGTCGCCAACCTTTTGGACCTCAGGGACCACCAAACTCATAATTTGAAATCCCAGGGACCATTAACCGGTTCTGTGGGTGTGGCCTAATTTGTGGGTGTGGCTTGGTGGTCATGTGACTGGCTGGGCATGGCTTGTATATAAATATTATAAATATTTGTATAAATATTGATTTTTTTATTAAAAAAGAGCAACTTTTACCCCAAATCAGGCAAAGCACAGGCAGATCGAGTTGCTCACAGAATCACAGATTCATTCAGAAATCTATCTATCTGCCATTGGCTAGCTCAGTCTGTCACATAAAATTTGCTTGCAAGCAAACTCATAAAATTTGCTAGCAAGCAAACTCACAAAATTAACTCACAGCACACTATATGTAAATATTGATTTTTTTTTATTAAAAAAGAGCCACTTTATCCAAAATCAGGCAAAGCAGGTAGGCAGATTGAGTTGCTCACAGAATCATTCAGTGATCTATCTATCTGCCATCGGCTAGCTCAGTCTCTCAAATTTGCTTGCCTTGAGTCTGCACTGAATAATAGAACCTTCAGTCCTAAGGAAGGTTCGGCTTTGCTTAAAAGCAGAGCCGAAGATCTAAAGACTAGCTAGAAAGCAAGAAATCCAACCATTTCCTGCTTCCCAGCTAATCTAAATCTCCCGGCACAGCAGAGCAGATGATGGTTGGAAAAAGGAAAAATAGAAATTTAGCAGGCAAGCTTGCCAGGTAAGAAGTGAGTGGGTGGGTGGGTTTCCCATGAGCTATGTGGGCGGTGCAGCTTTGTGTTTCTGTGCAGCCTGGATTAATTGCTTTGGGGGGGTGCTTGGGGGTGCGATTTCTCTGCAGCCCACCAAAATTTTCTCACGGCCCACTGTTGGCGACCGCTGTACTATATAGCATTTGACTTAGCCAAATGTTACAGTCATGTATATATTTAATAAAGATAATCTTTCAATATGATTAAAATCAGGAAAAAAAATCCACATTTTGCACATACAAAGTTTAAATGGTGAATTGTAAACAGCTGTTGGGTAAGAATAGGGTATATATTTATGTTTCAGTAAGCTTTGAAACAACTAGGCAATGAGCACTTATCAAAGAAGCAGACCGCAAGTTAAAACGTTTGATAATTAAAGCAGCATTGTATCTGATATGTTATTAGATAAAGATTTGCAACTTTTTGAGAGAGTATTTATCAAATCATACACTATCAAGCAAACCAGGGCTTAAATACTTCTGCTTTTCATTTTAGCCACTAAGATTACACATTTCTAATGGTTTATTGAAATAAATCTGATTTCAGGCGATGTGGATAAGTTTATCTTCTGAGGACAACCATATCCTACTTTCAAAAGACTTGGGCAAATAATCAAGAGAGAGTTCTGCAAGAATTATCCTGTTTCCCTGGCAGCATGCTAGTTTGGAGGAACAAGAAAGTTTTTTGGGGGGGGAAGTAAGTGAAAATGCAATATTATAATAAAAGAAGGATGGCATCAGAAAGATGAAATGGTTATTTCTTCCCTTTTCTCAATGGCCTCATCTCAACTGCAGCAGATATCTCCTAGCAAACTGCCTTGAGAGGGATAATAATCTAATGCTAAGTCTTGAGCCATATGTGAAGAAAAGTGCCTTGTACCTAAAAAAAACCCCAGTTGAATGTTACCTTGTACTGTTACTACTAACAGTAGGTTGATGCTACTGCTATATCTGAGTACTTTGAGCAATGAGGCATTACATTCATTTGATTAAAGTAGGGCAATTAAGCAAGATATTTTATGACTTTTTGGAATGTTTTTCCACATAAATACAGAAGTAACAGAAATTATTCTCTCCAAATCCTATTCTTCTGTCCAACTGATAGCAGCAGAAAAACAGGGTCTGAAATGGAAATATCTGATGTCCTAATATTCTCAGAAAATACCCAACTCTGAAAGCCTCCAGTGAATATGCAGCACTGTGAAGGCAAGATAATGTGGGCCCTTTTGTTTGGCCTCACAGAGTCCCAGTTAGCTAGGGGATCCTGTGTTATGCACCATGTTGGAAATGCTTCATCCACTTGTTGCTTTTCCTGAATTAAAATGGAAGACAGTTGAAAATACATAGATACAGAGACTGCATAACCTTACCTTTGGTGGTTTAAACGGATAATCAGATGAAAATGTGATATCCAGAAAAAATACACCACCTTCGTACACAGAACCTGGGGGACCCAGGATAGTAGATCTCCATTCGTAGATGTTATCGCCTTTAGGCCCAGCACTATTAAAATAAGCAAGAGGGAGAAAGAGAGAATGAAAAAAATGAACTTTTATGACTTTTTACGATCATTATTCTTGTGAATGGCCTCTGTTGTTCATATATGGCTTGGTGCTTCTTGGTGTGAAGAAACTTGTCCACTATCACTTATGTGTCTGTCAATATATTCAATACAAGGCTCATCTTTGTCTTTTGAAACAGTTAGTTGTGTAGTCTTTTGTTTGTTGGTCTCTGTGGGCGCATGGGCCATATATAACTGCCTTAAAGCACAAAGGCTACCTAATTCAAGGCATATGAAGAGCATCATCCATCTCCCATATTTATAGCCTGTTTTTTGTACAAGGAATTCAGGATGGCCTACATGTTTATTCTTGCAAACTCATTAAATAGATCAGCATAACACGCCAAGAAAGCTTCATAGAGGAGAGGATCTGAACCCAAGTCTCTCCAGAAATATTACAACAACATATCATGCTGTATATCTAGATATAGAATGAAGCTTTTCAGAAAATTTATATAAGGATTTTTTTTTTTTAAGTTAAGCCTTTATTATCATTTCCATATACTGCTGGCAATAATGAATATATAATCCTAAAGTTTCTGGGTATCCATTCCCAGATGGAAATAAATGGAATGACCTTTCTATGATAAGGTAACCTTTATTTCTTGATCTAATACACATACAGTTTTACATGCAATCAGTTGTAAGTACTGTATATACTCGAGTATAAGCCTAGTTTTTCAGCCCATTTTTTGTGCTGAAAAAATCCCCCTCGGCTTATACTCGAGTCAGATTCCCCTCTGAAAAAAAAATGGTGTGGAGTCGCGGCCTCCGGCGGCAGTGACTCCCAACAGCCCCAGCCGGGAAGGGAAAGGCAAAAAGCGCTTTGCCTTTCCCTTCCCGAGGCGGCGGGACTGGGGCCGCTCCGGCGGTAGTGACTCCTGACTCAGGGGGCCTCCGAGGGAGGGGAAGAGAGTGACTCCTGCCTCCCGCTGTCATCATCATCTTCTTCTTTTGGGTTAGTGAATCAATTAAACCTTTCATGATAGTGAGATCGTTTCCCAAATTAATTATTTTTATTTTTGAAATTTACCAGTAGCTGCTGCATTTCCCACCCTCGGCTTATACTCGAGTCAATAAGTTTTCCCAGTTTTTTTTTTGTAAAATTAGGTGCCTCGGCTTATATTCGGGTCGACTTATACTCGAGTATATACAGTAATTTTCGGGGCTCCTACTACCTCATGGGTGTCAAACTCAATTGCACCATGTGACATATTGCAACATTTTTTGCCTTTGCGGAGACGGAGTGGGCGTGGCCTGCAAGTGATGCATCCAGCCTATGTGCCACCAGTCTGACATCCTTGTACTACCCAGTGTTTCCCACTTAGTCTAATAGAATTCCCTACTGGGCCTGGGTCTTCTGAACTGCAACCCCAAATATCCAGAGACCCATCAAACTGGGGAAGATTCCATTACAAATATTTCCCAAAGCTCCTAAAAGTTGTTCACTCACTTCCTGAGAAGTGTTGAAGCCTGAAATTTGCCGGTTCTCAAAATGACTCATGCTCTGCCAACTTTGCCAAAGATATTGGTTTTTAAAAATATAGACTGACATTTTGGTGTCCAATATTTATAGTGTTCCAGGCACACACTTATGTAAGAAGGGAGGGAATGGGATAAGGATTAGAAGAAAACAGAGGTGATGACACCATTGTTCAAATAAACTTCCTCTTCAAAGGCCAGTTTATGCAGAAGAATTACCGTTTATAAATATGACTGTGAAGGAACTGAAAAGGCTACAAATTTAACTTAAACCTATTTAAGAGCTTCCGCCCTTTTATAAAACCAGAATGTCTTGCTTTATCTTCCTTCCTATTCTACACTTCTCAGAAAAAAATTCTGGCAAACGTTTCACAACCCTCCCCCCCCACTTTCTTAAAAAGAAAGTGTGCAATTCAAATACTAATCTTGAATGGAAATCTGAAAAAGACGTGTTTGTTGTTATTATTTAAAATATAGGACTATGTCTACTTCCACAGCTATACTTCTCCTTGATCTCTTGTCCCCCATAAGCTTCTACCCAACCATCAATTTGCTCTACAGAAGAACTGGGAAACAGCACAGGGGTGCAAGATACAAACACTTCTTCCTTCTGGAAGCGACCGAATAGAATAAAAAATGAGAAGTAGGAAAAAACAGCCCAGAGAAAGATAATGGAAGTTCATTTCCCTATCAGAGCAAAATAATTACAAGGTTATGTCTTTGTAAGACACTAGGAACAGAGGCATCCACCATGGAGATGGGAGATATCAAGAAAGTAAAACTGGAATCACAACTGTGCAATTAAAATGTCATCCCTTTTTTACATGTGTTTGTACCTGCAACATGTATAAAAAAGGGGGGTGGGCTGAGGTTTGATTGCACAGTCATAGCTGCTACCTGGGCTTTTTTCACACTTACACAAAGACACACCCCTGCACCGACCCTTCACTATAAATTGAGCTCAGCTTATTTACAGCTCCTCTTTTATACTTCTTAGTAATATTGTTTTAGACAAAAGTTATTTTATAGAAAGGGGATTTGAGTTTCTCAGTTGCTGAAAGGTTGTAGCTAAACTAGTTGTACACTAAGAGTAACCTAGAGGGTGGAAAAATGATTACTGCACACAAACACACACACACATACACACACACACACACAGAGGAACACTGAAAATGGGACAAGAAGTAAAGAATTCTTCCCTCAGATGAGGAGACATAGGTCCACAGCAATAAATTCTAAAATACAGAGTGTGTCCTTCCCTGTTGCGTTATTCTGCACCCATGATTTGACCAGTTTGAGATGGTAACAGTCCAACATATATCTGGTAATATTTCAGATCATTAAATTTTGTCTTTTAGTCAGTATCTCTTTTACAATGCAAATGATGCAAACAAAAATTAGGAAAATTCTGACTGAGAGGAGGCAATATGGCAGAAGTCTATATGTGCTGCCATAAAATTTCTTTTTTTTAACAGAAACAATACAAAAAGTAGGAGCAATACAGAAAATATTTAAAACTCCTGCACAGGTCATCGGGGTTTTCCTAATTAACTCCTGACATCCATTAAGCATATAGCTATTAATTAGCATTAGGCTTGGAAGTTAAATTTCTCTGGAACAATTCAATTTTGGCACAGATTTCCTTAATGGCTCTTTTATAGCTTAATGCTCCTATATCATCTGTCAGTTGCCTTTTCTTCAAACACCTCTAATAGCTGGATGCAATTCAGTCAGTTTAATGAAACACAGAATTGACTTAGCAACATATTTCAGCCAAAGTAATCAGTCACAATTAAGGTTACTGCCTTAAGCTGTGTGCCAAACTACCTGCTAATCACTCAGGTCAGAACAAGGGCATCTATCAATTAAATAGTCGATCATCTAAAAGCAATAACTCCTAAATTACTATTTACAATCGTTTATTATATTGCCCATTACTGTTTTTGTAACATTATAAAGCTTGCCCACTGAGAGGGAGGATCTACTGTAACATTTCAGGTAGTCTGGCCCTATAGACCAGCCTTTTCCAACTACCACTCTTCATATACGCGGGATTATCATTCCCATGCTGACTGGGGAGTTATGGAAATTGTAGTTGTTTTTTTTAAATAAAGTTTTATTGAGTTTTAACAAAACAAATAAAACATCTTATTTGAGTACAGCATCGTTCCGGGTTATCATATTACCATACAGATACAATTTCATATGCATAGTCATCTTATGTATTCAACTTCATATCTTATTACTCTTTTTCCAACTTCTCACTATTTCTCCCTTTACTTCTCTTAATTTTCTTTTATGGTTATCTCATTTTCTTCTTATTCAATTGTATTTCTTTTACCTAAAACATAGCAAAAAGAATATATATATATATATATATATATATATATATATATATATACACACACACACACACACATACATACACACACACACATATATACATATATATATATACATATTCAATATCTATCAATCTTTGAGAACAATTGAAATGTTTCCCTCCCTTCTTCATTATTACTTAACTGTTAATAAGCATACCATTGGATAGTCATACAGTTTCATCTTATAAATTATTTACTATTAAGCAAAATAATTATTCAGATTCATTCTAATAACTGGTATAAATTTCCTTATAAATCTTTCACATTTCTTTTCAATATTTTATCAATCTTTAGAAACAATTGCAATGTTTCCCTCTCTTCTTTATTATTGCATTAATTATAAATAAACATACCATTACATAACAATAGTTTTATCTCATAATTTACTTATTTCATTTCTAACTCATTACAGTATTCTACTGTCACAATACTATCTTTTGTACCTTTGCAGAATCCTCACTTTTAACTAAATTTAACCATTGTCTCTGTTTTCTAGCTGAGCAAATACCTTTAATCCTAGTACGTTTCCCCTTTTTCTTTATTTCCTGTTTTTGTCCCTCATAAGTTCTTTCCCTTTCTATCTTCCCCCCTTTTTCTCATCCCTTTTTTTATACCCTTCTCTCTCTAATTTTCCCTTCTGTAGTTTTCTTTTCTGCTTCTCCTTGCTGTTATACTTTTTTTGCAGACTATTTTTCTTTTTGGCTGTTCCCTTTGATCTCAAACTTTTAACTCTTTTCCCCCTTATTACCACACTTTGCATTATTTGATCATTGAAAATGGCTTCTTCTTTGTCCCGCCCTTCTTCTTGCTCTTGAAGCTTTTCCTTTTGCTTTTCATAGTTCAGGATCTCCATTTCAAAAAATTCAAATACGAAGCCAAAGGATCTTCCTCCCCTTTCTGCATCTTCTTTCTGTTTTTTAAGACTCATCTTCAATTCCTCCAGGAGTGATGGCATTTTAAACACTTTTGAACAACCACCTGATTGACTTTAAGTAAAAACAGAAAAAGAAAGAAAAAACCAATGCCAAAAACTTTTTTTTTAAATCACCAAATGATCCCAGACTGTTCCTTCTTGT